GTCTGGCTCACAGACACACACCCCAATGAAAGAATAGACCATTCCAAGCTTTTACTTGTTAAACAACTCTACTTATTCAGTTATGTACAGGCTGCCCAGTGTCAGCTAACAATACGAAAAATTAAATTGTGGCAGATTGCTACAAGTTCTTCAAATACCTATAGAATGATAGGTTTCTTTTTTGTGGGTGTAAAACAGGTAAATACACCAGTTTGACCTTATATTTTATCTGTTACTTTCTTTACCCTAACTCTATACAAAGTTGGTCAGTTTGACTGACCTTGTAAACCTCCCTCCCCTATAAAAATATCAAAATAAATCTAAATTACCCTTTTTTTCTTTGTAGAATGACTTCAAATTGTAACATGGAACTACATTTGTTTATCCTAAGTAGCTTTAACCTGGTACTATATACATTTATTTATAGTTAAATCTTATTCTTTTATTGCCCTTTGAACCATGTTTAATGATCCCATTATAAATTGTAAATCGCTCAGGGAATGTGCAGCTCATGCTACGCTAATTGAATTACATTACCCATAAGCTACTTGGAGCTACTTGTGTGCATGTCTCGTGAAACATTATTATATTATTATTTATTTTACCTGATCTTATCTTAACTAACCTAAAAAGATCCCTATTTTTACATTTTAGTTACTTTTATAAAAATAAATAAAGAATAAACAAGAAATAAAGTACTTACCCACTCTTCTTTTTTTCTTGCTGTTGATTGTCTAACCCTACTTTTTTTTTATACTAATGGTAGTAATGCACTAAATAATTTTTATTTAATCAAATAATGCACCAAATAACATAGAATAATAAGATGCAAAAAGTATACAATTTCCTCTAACAATCACAATTCTTCTAGCTTTCTAACTTTGCGACAAGAGCTGTTACAAATTCATCCAAGCTAGTCATTAACTTCCCCATGGGAACAGAGCTTGCACTCTGAATGAAATTGACAAATATCTGTTCATACCACACGAGGGGTTTGATTTTCTATTTGACAGCTCTGTAACAAAACAAAATTGAAGGCTATTGGAAATTATGATTTGTCTGAACAATGACAATTTTATAGTGAGTATACATTGAATTTCGTACTTTTTGGAGGGGTGGTGGATAAAATAGAGAAGATGCCTAGAGAAATTGTGTCATGCGTGTCACACTAGGGAACATTCAGGATTTTTTTTAAATATTGCCTTGTAGAATTAAAAACTTAAAACTTATATACTATTAAAATATGGATTATTTGCTAAGATTTTATGCTATACTAAGTGGTATAACATAAAAGTAGTTTAATATAATTTTGAATGTAAGACACTAAAATTTTGTGTCAAGCTCAGTAAAGGGTACCCGTGGTGATAGGGTTAAGACATGGTTGACTATTTGTGCTGTGTCTACCACAGAGATCAGATCCCAAGTTCATAATTTTACATCTAGGGTAAAATTTAATTTTCACTTCAAAACATTCCTTACAGTAGGAAACTTCTGAATGTATAATACCTTTATTTGATATCAACCACATGTTGGCTCTTTCAAAAAATTTCTGAAAGCAAAATAAAAAACAATTTACCTAGATCAATGAGAATAGCATGTTGTTGGGAAGTCAGTTGACTTAGAAGTTCACTGTAAGACTGACTAAGATCAACAGTTTCAGGCACAGAGGCTGGCGTGAAAGTGTGGAGCTGCTGCTGCTCAGCAAGGAACTGCCACACTTCTCCACGTCTGTGACGAGGTACTCCTGAGATAATACAAAATAAATTACACAGTACTCGACAAAACCATACACAGAATTAAGTTATTTTCAGAAACATACTGTTTTTAGTTTTAAAAGACAAGAACATTCAGGTTTTAAAAAATATATACTCCTCTTGTTATAAGGAAGAAAATAATTTCAAGAAAGGTTATCCAAATCCCAGCTCTCTTAAATATGAATTTAAAAGAAATAAAGTCATAGATAGGCAGTGACAAAATTAAGTACTTAATTAAGTAATATTCATGATAAAAATCACATCAGACTGCAGATTTTTCTTCCACATTTAACTTACTTT